TCGGTGGAATTGTTTGTCTTTCCCACTATTCTCTGAGTTCTGCACAGCTGGAAATGTACCTGTTTTGTTCACTGATGTACCCTAAGAACATAACAAGAGCCTGACACTTAAGCAGAGCTAAAAAAAAAAAAAAAAAAAAAATCTGTTGATGAGTGGCTATCTCCTCTAACTGTAACACTCCAGGGAGTCCCCTGACTGTCCACTTGTCCTCCCTTCATCATCCAGCTGTCCAACTTGAGGACAAAATCACAGGTAGTGATGAGCATGGAGCATATAAAGTGTTGATGTGGTGAGCAAACCATCTGGAGTTGAAAGGAGGGGTCAACAAAACACAAAGGCCTTGTGTCATAGCTGCAATCACCAATGACCCCTCACTCAAAAAACCACTAACCAGAGTCCATGGCTGGTAGTCTACAGTAGTGCCCTTGTCTACAGCTGCATGCTCCAAAACTTCCATTATCTATGGTGAACAGTGGTCTGAATATAGTAAATATTAATGAAAAATTCCAGAAATAACCAATTCATAATTTTCTTCTGGTACAGAGTCTTACTATAGAAACCTGGCTGTCCTAGAACTTGTTGTGGCGGACCAGGCTGGCCTCAAACTTAAATAGATCTACCTGCATCAACCTTCTGAGTGCTGGGATTAAAGTCGTATGCCACCATGCTAGGCTCTGAGTCATAATTTTTAAATTGCCATTGTGATTACACGATGACCCTGGTTCACTCTCTCCCAGGTGTGAAACAAACTTGTGACTGCTGCATCGATACTGTATGTTCTATTTGTCTAGTGATAGGAGGGGTGGAAGAAAGACAGAGAGGGTGAGAGAGCTATTACAGTATATTATGATGGTTTATTAGTAGCTATTGATGTTAATCTCTTACTGTGCTTAATTTATAATAAAACTTTACCTTAGGTGCGTGTATATATATAGGAAAAACAGAGTATGTAGGGGGTGGTACTATCTGCAGTTTTTTAGGTATCCAGTGTAGTCCTTAGTGACAGTGGTGACCGGAACTTGGAGTCATAGTTCCACACTGTTACTAGAAGCAGCCTGAAAAATTCCCAAAACTTTTGGGGACCTGGACTCAGGCAAAACCAAATCCTTGGCTTTGACCCAGAAAAGAATTCCAGGACTAGCCTGTATGAAGCCAGGTTTTTTGGTTTTTTGGGACAGGGTTTCTCTGTGGCTTTGGAGGCTGTCCTGGAACTAGCTCTTGTAGACCAGGATGGCCTCAAAGAAGCCAGCTTTATTAAAGATATTTAAGTACAGATTTTAAGTACAAAGATTATGAGAAAGAGGTGCTTGGGAAAAGAATAAGACCTACACACATGGGCAAGGCATTCTCAAGAGAGAGTTGCAATTAACTATCCTGGCATTAGCTTCATATACCATCTTCATGGCTCTCAAGTTACATCTCAAACGTTGCTAAGAAACTCTTACTAAGCATGGTGGTACACATCTCTCTCTCTCTCTCTCTCTCTCTCTCTCTCTCTCTCTCTCCAGGACATGGTTTCTCTGTATAGCCCTGGTTGTCCTTTCACTCTGTAGAATAGGCTGGCCTCTGTAGATCTACCTGTCTCTGTCTCCCGAGTGCTGGGATTAAAGGTGTGTGCAACCGCTGCCCAGAAAGTTGCACAACTCTTTAATTCTCTGTGAATTTGTGGTCAGTCTGGTCTAAACACTAAGTTCCATGCTAGCCAGGACTGTATAATGAGACCCTGTCTCATAATAAAAGAAAAAAAGTTATCCCCCCCCCCTTTCCACCTTCTGAGACTGAACTCAGGCTGCTGGGCTTGGTACCAAGTGCCTTTATCCACTTTACCACCTTCCAGCCTTTCTCTGTTTGATAAGTGGAATTTATAGGATGGCTCTGGAGATGGCTTGGATGGATTACAATCTAATAAAATAAAAGGAAGAGCCACTAGGGTTACACAAGAAGTTAGGACATACCATTTTACAATAAAGTTTCTAGTAAGAGTCCCAGAAAGTTGCAGGTTTCTATCTGGATAGAAGTAAAACTGTAGACAAGGGTAATTGTGCTGGAGTTCCTGAGTGTCAGCTGCCTAGAGGCTTCAGCCAAGGCTCGGATGGGGAAGGGGAGATTCTTTCTCTCTTTCCATGTCTCCACAATTGTCCCTGTGTTTCTGTTCCTGTGAGCAGGGAGGACTACTGTACTCTAAGTTAACAACAGATAACTAAAGTATCAGTAATATGTCAAAAGCAAGTTACTAAACTATTGATTAATAATTAAGGTTTAGCAGGCAACTGAACTGTCATGTAATACAGCCTAGTGAATAGGTATCTAGATGATAAGCTGGCGTTAGGAGATAATTAAATCATTAGTAGATAATCATATGTCAACTACTCAAGTGTTAACTGATAACCAAGGGATTAATTGAAGACAAGGTTGTTGGCAGATAATGGCTAATTAAGAGTTAAGGTGAGAGTTGATAAAGATTTAAAATGGCATTTTCATGTATGGTAGAAGGAAACAGAGCAGCCTGGAAGCTAGTAAAATCTATAGAAATACATGTCCTATAAGAAGTATGGAGTCGACAGTGGGACTCACAGCATTTTAAAGAAATGGTTTTTTTATCATTAGTGTCCATGTCTATCCAATATAGCCACATTGGGAAAAGAAATAAAGTTCAGTGACACCTCCCCAAGTTCACATTCAAGGTCCTAATGCAAGATTTAGTTTTAAATAGAAAGCAAGATGTATGTATAACTAAACATTTCCAGTCAAGGGGTGTTCCCACCCATCGATGATTCATCATTGCTTGGGACTAATCTCTCCTGCAAGGCAACATACTGTGTGAAATCTCTTCTGAGGGACAAGCTCCCCTCTAACTGAGGGTCCCCATCTTATCTTTCTTCTAGCATGTGTCTGGGGGGAACTCCAGTTTCTTGTAGTCTGTTGTTTCAGTAGTCTGATAGGCAAAGCGAAGGGCAAGGTGTCTTCCTTTAGAACATCTTTGTTCCTGCTAGCATGGTTAAATTTGAGCACTAGCCACAGGGCCTTTGGAATAAAATCCATGAGCACAAACCTTCCTTAATGCAAAGTGCCTCTGTTTTGAAAAGGCAAAAAAAGCACAAGAAACAAAATTCAAACAGTCAGAATAAACTTTAACCCCTCATACTTCACTTGTGCCCAACCAGGAGGCTACTGAGACAAGATCTATTCCATTTCTTACATTGACTCATGACTAGAGCCTAACAGCCTTCAACATATCACACCCCTAATACATGCCTTCAACACATCACACCCCTAATATGGCCTTCTCAAAAGACAAAAGGAGAACCTTCGTTATCACTTTAACAGTCTAAATTTTGCAATAATAATAACTTAAAAACTTGGTTTATCAAAACTACAGGCATTTTATATGGTATTTGGGATGTTAGCACTAGGGACTATGAGGTAGGGGGTTATAAGTTCAAGGCCAGCTGGTGCTTCATATGGAGATCATATTTACAAGCAGAACAAAGTAGGGCTAGGGAAATGGCTCAGTTGATAAAGCACATGAAGACTTGAGTTTGGTCCTAGCATATACACAGAAAGTCAGGCATGAATTATGGAAGGCAGAGACAGGAGGATCCCCAGGGTTATTGGCAGGCCAGCCTGGCTTAATTAACAAGCCTCAGATTCCCATGAGAGATCTTGTATTCTATAAGTATTGCAACATCCACAAACTTGTGAATTAAACAGTTTAAATTTCTCCCGCATCAGGGATAAGAGAAAAAAAAAACAAACCTTAAATGCTGGCTCCAGTTTGCTTATTAAAAGCTCTTAGAGGCAAGTGTGGAGGCACACCCCTTCAATCCCAGCACTTGGAAGGACGACAGGTGGATCTCTGTGAGTCTGAGGCCAGCTTGGCCTACACAGAAAATTCCAGGATACTCCGAGCTACATAGAGAAACGATGTCTAAAAAAATAAATAAATAAAAAATTCCAATAACTCTAGGTGCAGCCTGACAAGGAAATAAGGCTTGGTCCTAGTCTGGCCCCAGCTGGTTTGGTAGGGGCCCCAGATGCTCGATGAGAACATAACAGAGCTGCTATGTTTGGAATCCTTACTGGCCACCCGTGGCCTGCAAATGCATATATGCACTGTTTACTTTCCTCCTGCCCTGATCTGGCTAATGCAATTTAAGAGAGAAAAGATTTCTCCTGGCTCACAGTTTCAGGGAATATCAGCCCACTGTAACTGAGAAGGCATAGTGGTGGGATTAACTCCTGGCCACAGTGTGTGTGTGACTGGGGTCATACTGCCAGAGCAGTCTAGAAGAAGAGCTTGAGGTCCAGCCAGAATCTTGGTTGAAGTCCTGCTCCTATACATACATCTGCTCCATATATAATAGATTCCATAACCTGCCCACCCTCAGCCAAAACAGTGCTACTATCTGGGAACCAAGTGTTCAGGTACATGACTTGTGGGAGATAGCTCACATTTAAATTATGATATCCTTCACTTTTTTTTTTTTTCTGTAGTGTATGTTTGATTGAAACTTTTTTATGAGGATTAATGTGTAGCTTGATTGAAAGAAATTAAAAGAGCTGGAAACCTTTAATGTTTACTTTTATATTAATCTGTATTGTTTGTTTTTTTAATGATTTATTTTAATTTTGTGTACATTAGCGTTTTGCCTACATGTATGTCTGTGTGATGGTGTCTTGTCCCCTTTAACTGCAGTTACAGATGGTTGTGTGCTGCCAAGTGGGTGCTGAGAACCGAACAGGGGTCCTCTGGAAGAGCATCCAATGGCTGAGCCATCTCTCCAGCCCTTGTTAGGGTTTTTATTAGCACACTCTCTTTCTGTGTCTTTCTTTTTTGCCTCTCTGGGAATGGAGCCCAGAGTCTTGCAAGTCTTGAACTCAGAGCCCTTTCCCACTCCGTTCCAAGCACTTGCATCTTTTATAATTAAATAATAATCCACACAGGAAGAAAGAACAAAAACAACAGCAAACACATTTGGACTAGATTTCCACTGGCTAGATTTGTGTTGAGTTCAAGTTTTATTATCACAAGTAATGTTTTGTTTATAGGCAGAAAACATGTGCTGAATGCTTCCTCTTTGGCTAGCACTGCCCCAGGCACGTTCTCAGGTGTTAGATGCTAATCCTCACAGCCTTCTGTGAGGTAAGACTTGGCTTCTCTTTATAGAAGCCTAGCTAGGAGAGGGTTGCTTCATACCCTTCTACATGGTTTCTCATAGCCTGGCCATGTTTCCTTTGGCTAGCAGCCTACTGGCCGGTGATTGACTGTTCAGAACTCTCATTGGCCAGGATTTCCTATTCCTTGCTCTTGGAGTCAAATCATTCAAGTCTTTGACTTCTTCCTCCATGTGAATGAAGGGGCAAGAAGCCCAGACTGCCTGTGAAGCACCTCTTGAGTTTGCCGAGGGACAGGAGTGGTGGGGAAGAGGGAACCAATCACAGCTCTTCTCGTTTCTTAAGGATGAGCTTCACCATCAGCTCTGTGATCTGCGGCTTGATCTCCTGAATGGGCACCGTTGGATCCCAAGCCCCCACCACCTTTCCATCGGGGTCCACTAGGTACTTCCAGAAGTTCCAGGTAGGCTCCTTCCCAGAAGTCTCTAAAGAAAAAGGAAGCAGAAGAGCATTGTGCCTCTTTGTACCCTTCTCCTGGGATCCCACTATTGGTATAGCTCCCACATCCAGGCCCCACCCAGACTACTTCAATTAGAGCCACTGAGAACAAGACCCAGCCCCCAGCACTTTTCAGGAGCTCTCCAGTAGATTCCAGCGTGGGATCCTGATTGAGAGAGACAACTTTAGGATCCTGGGACGTACATGATACCGCACTATCAGCCATTCTTTTCTAATCATCCCTAACAGCCACACCCTGTTCTCTAAATCTGTTTTGTTTCCAGACAGGATTCTATGTAACCCAGGATACCTTAGTCTTGCTATATAGCTGAGGAAGACCTGGAATGCCTTATCCTCCTGGCTTCTAACTCCCAAGTGTAGACCTACACTACAATTCCTTGCTTCCAATGAAATCTTAATGGCTTCTAAGGGCTATTCCATGTACTGGCTGGATCAAAATCACTGTCAGGGTTCAGGGTCTTAAAATAAATTCTTGGGCCCTGCTAGAGTAGGGCTCAAGCTTGTACAGTTATAAGATCTTTCCAGGTGCTCCTAAAGCAAGACTGGATTGATCTACAATTGCAGGAACTGGGAGAAAAACTAACAAAATACATAGGAGGGGGGAAAAAGTATGACTTAACAAATACACAAAGCTCACCAGGTCCCAAAGTTCACAAGGTCTGCAACTGAGACAGGCATTTTGTCCTTCCTTCCTTCCTTCCTTCCTTCCTTCCTTCCTTCTTTCCTCTCTTTTCTTCCTTGCTTGCTTCCTTCCTCCCTGTCAATATGTATGGGTGTTTTGCTTGCATATATGCCTGTACACTATATGTGTATAGTGCTCAAGGAGGCCAGAAGATGGCATTGGACAGATTCCTTGGGACTGGAGTTGCAGATGGTTGTGAGCCGCCATGTGGGGACTAGGAATCTAACCTGGGTTTGATTCTTGATGAGCAACCAATGCTCTTAACCTCTGAGCTATCTCTCTAATCCCAGAATCCCACTTTTTAATGAGCAGGCTCAGACCAGCAAATGTTTGACCCTTGGTGAACCAAGCTTGCCTCTTACATCGATAGTCAGTCCCATGATGAGATAACTTATGTTGTAAAACTTATTCCTGCCTCACCTTCCAGAGAGACAGCACTGTGCAGATGTCCCAGCTGATAAGACCCAAACAATCAGAGCACAGTGACATTGAAACACCACCTGACCATCTCTGTGCCGTTTCTCTACCATCTTGTCTGTTGCAGCTGGACCACAGGGTATCTAACAAATTCTACTGCCTTTCTGTCCTTGGTGAACTCATTCACAGCCCACACTTTGTGCCCGTCCCTGGTATTCCAGCATGGCAATTAAGTTGATCTTTTGGAGAGAAGGTTTCCCTCTTAGTGTACAGACTTGACTCAGAACAAGAGACTTTCAGTCATCTTGGTCACCCTTCCCCAGGCGTGTGACGTCTCATGACTGTGCCTTAGTTTCTCTGTCCTCAGTCTTTATAGGATAGAGAAGCCAAGGAACACTGACAAAAGCATGATGACCTGTGTCCTTCTAGAAGCCCCTGTGAGTGGAGACCAAACCTCAGGGAAGTCCTAGGGTGAGACAGCAGGTGTGGAGAGACTTGGGTAGGATTCTTTTTCTGCTCAAGCCTGCCCTTACTTTCCTCCAAGAGTCAGGAAGAAAAAGGTGACCCAGCCAGCCAGCAGCTTCTGCTGCCCAGGAAGTCATGGCCACGGCCAGGGAGGGAAGGTGAGGAGGAGAAGGGACAGGACTCACGGGTTAGGTATTTGAAGGCAGGGTGGGCACCAGTGCCAGTGACTGCGATCTTGCTAAACATGGGAAAAGAGACACTGTAGGTGCGGCGGGCAAAGTTCTCGATTTCCCTGTTGGTGTCTGGTTCCTGTTGGCCAAACTGGTTGCAAGGGAAGGCAAGCACGTTAAAGTGGTAGGGACCCAGGTCCCGTTGCAGCTGCTGCAAGGCCCGGTAGTTCTGGTCTGTGAAGCCACATTCGCTAGCTACATTCACCACCAGAGAAACCTGCATGGCAAAAACAGAAGAAAGCTCAGAACCATATACAATCCAGTGGCGAGGCATGCACTTGCATCTGCTTTGACATGCACACATAGGTGACTCCATCACACATGCAAGAATACTATGTAGATATGTAAATATGTGTATAATGCTCTGACATAATACACTCACACATAAAATCAATCATGGAGGGGCCTATGCACATGTACACACATACATGAGTACCTGTGACTGTAAGCATACAACTCACCTAAATTAATATGCACATGCTCTATGATGCAAACCTATCTGTGTATCTAGCAGTACACAGATCCACAAATACATACAGCACAATCACAGACAGGCATGCACACAGAGGGCACACATCAGTAAGTGATGTGGGGAGGAGAAAGGCACACTTGGTTTAGTTTGGTTCAGTCAGCTGGGTACTTCCAGGAATTCAGGCCGGCTCCTTCCCAGAAATCTCTAAAGAAAAAGGAAGCAGAAGAACAGTGTGCCTCTCTGTGTCTTCCCCTGGATGGGGCTGCTGGAACATAGGTACATGGACAGAATGACCCCCAGGACAAGCCTTTGTATCTCTTTCCTTCTGGCAAACAAATACTTTGATCACTGAGTCCTAATTTTATTAAATACTTTAGGCAATAAATACGGAACTAGCTGATGGAACTGAGTTATTATGTAATTAGAATTTTGGCATCAATACCACATTTCCAGCCTCTAGCTATGTATTACTGAAAGATTACAATCCTTTACCTGGGTGCCCTAGTCCTAGCTCCATGGCTGCTTTTGAGACAAGCTGGGATATCACCTGGCTACCCTAAAGAAGACCAAACTACATAGAGAAACCCTGTCTCAAAAAACAAAAAACAAAACAAAACAAAAACAAACAAACAAACAAACAAAAAGAACTTTCCCAGGGTCAATCTGGAACACTGGGTACAAATTGCTCAAGCTAGATAGGACTTCTTAAATTCAGCACTACTGAATTTAAGTATTAATTTAAGAATTTAATGGGTCTTCATTATGGGGAGCTGTTCTGTTTATTGTAGAATATTTGGCATCATTCTAGCCTGTACCCACTAGATATCTAAGCTTGATCACCAAAAATGTTTCCTCATGGGCTCTGTGGCACACTCCTGTAATCCCAGCTCTAAGGAGGCTGAGGCAAAAGAACTTCAAATTGGAGGCCAGCCAAAACTATACAGTAAGACCATTTCCTTTAAAAAAAAAAAAGTGCAGCAAGCCTTTAATCCCTGTACTTGGGAGGCAGAGATAGAGGTAAGTGGACCTTCGTGAGTTCAAGGCCAGCCTGATCTACATACCAAATTCCAGGCGAGCTACTGAACAGTAAAACACTGTTATCTCAAAACAAACAAAATGGAGAGAGAACAATTTGCTGCCATGCCTGACAATCTGAGTTCAATCCCAGGACCCCACAAAATAGAAGGAAAGAAATTATTCCCCTAAGTTGTTCTCTGGCCCCCACCTGGACACCATGAAAGGCAAACACACACACACACACACACACACACACACACACACACACACACAATGTAATAACAAAAAAATTTTTTCAAATTATTATCTTTTTTATTTTCAAGACAGGGTTTTTCTGGCAATCCTAGAACTAGTTCTGTAGACCAGGTTGGCCTTGAACTCACAGAGATCTGCCTGCTGGGATTAAAGGCAAAGGCGTGTGCCACCATGTAGCTGAGAATCATTGAGCTAGCTAATCTGACCCAGTGTACACTCTGCCTGGTAAGATGGTTAGAAATTGGAACTCTAAATTTCCTGCTCCAGTTAAGGGTCCTCTCCCTTCTTTCCCACTGGACTTTTATTCAATGCACTTAAAATGCTTCTTTTTAACATGTATCTTATGTGTTTCCCCAGTCTTCATGAAGGGGGACATCTTGCTTCTTGCTTCTCATTCCACCCATGAAACCCAATAGCTTATTTACACATGTACATACACGTGCACAGAAACAGACTCAGGTGTGTCCAGAGAAGCAAGGAAACACATCACATACCTCCCCCCTCTTTCTTTCTCTTTCTCACTCATACATCCCACCCGGGGAAGTAAGCGCATTCCAAAGGAATCACCTCAACATTTGTGTTCAACCATAGACTAAATGACTGTCATCCCAGTCATCCTTCTGACTGTCACTCGGTACCAGACTGTAGTAGGAGGCAGCAAATGTCTGTTAATGAACAAATGAAGGCATGCCCCAAGCAGTCAGCCCAGCTGACTGCTCCCCGGTTTCTTTCTGAGTTTAGCAATTAAGGGCAGAGACTCTACAGTTGTACTTCTGGGGTTCAAATTCTAACTCTACCTCTTAAAACAAACTAACAAAACAGACCAGGGGGTAGGGTGATCATCCTACACACTGTGGTGTGCATGTGTGGAGATCAGAAAGTCATTTCCAGAAAGCGATTCTCTCCTTCTACCATGTAAGTGGGAATTGAACTCAGGTCCTCAGGTCCACTGAGCAATCCTACTGGCCTTCTAATTCTACCTTTTTAAAAAAAATTATTTTAAGGTTTTTGAGACAGGATTTCATTACCTAATACAGCCTTGGCAGGCCTGGAACTTGTTTTATTGACCAGTCTGGCTTTGAACTCAAAGGTATCTGCCTACTTCTGCCACCCAAGTGCTAGGATTAAAAGTGTGCATGTTCAGGCTAACTCTATATCATACTCCTTTTAGAAGCTGAAAAATCTTGGGTTTTTTTTGTTTGTTTGTTTTGTTTTTTTTTTTTAATTTCTTACTGCTATTGGGATTGCCTGGTTCAGAGCCTCGTTTATTGTCTTTCTTCCCTATGAGGTGGATTAAGACATAAACTTGTTTTGCCCATCACTGTTTATCTTCAGAACTTGAGGTTTCTAGCTGGTATACAGTAGGTGCCAAATAATAAACAATGAATTAATGCCTGGAGGAGCTGCGCAGGTGGTACATCTGGGGCCTTTGTCCAGCGGTATCAGAGGGGAGGGGAGGCCTGACAGGAATAGGTCCTGCTCTTTGCTATTCTTTGGAGTCTTGGATGAGGACATTGAGGAGACCTACAACCCACATAGAGCACCTTAAAGTTACCAAGTGCTTCCACACTGCCCTCTCATTTTGAAATTCACAGCACAGCCAGCATAATCGAGAATTTCAAGGCCATTGAAATTGGTTTTGTCCCTAAAGGTGGCCCTGCTCCCAAGAAAAGCTCATGATAGCCATTTCTTTGTAATTCATCCGAATTAGGATGGTGGGCTCACAGGTCCATTAATGTCCAACGCCACACGTCTTCACACCAGGGTCTCCAACTGCATCTCAAGAGGCAGCAACTGCATCTCAAGGCAGAACATTCTTTGAAAGAATTTTTAAAATTATTATTTTATTTTTTTTTTTGAGATACAGTCTCACTATGTAGCCCTGGCTGTCCTGGAACTCCCTACATGGACACCAAACTGGTCTCAAACCCACAGGGGTCAGCTTGTCTCTTCTCTAGTGCAGTTCTGGGATTAAAGGCCTGCTATGACAAGCCCCGATCTAGAGAAGATTCTTCATCACAAACCTGGGTCTCTGAACTTATAGTTCAAAGTTTCGCAGCCTTGTTTCTGGTCCTGTAGGCCTCATTTACCACCATTTAGCCTAAGGGCTTGTATCCTTCAGGTTCTGCTGTTGAAGTCCCTGATCCTCCCCACCCTACCTGCAGTTTTGCTTGTGCCTGGACTTGGCCAGCTCTCTTTGCCTTGATCTGTCTTTCTCAAGTCTTTTTTTAATTTAAAAGACCCAATCCTGATACACTTCCTTACTCTTCCTTACTGTGATTCAGCCTAGCGAGGAGGGGCCTGTCGGCCTGGATGGCTAGCAACTCCATCACAACTGCCCTGTAAGGGGTGGGCCTTGAGAGGACCAAAGGATGGGAAGGGTGTAGGTAGGGTTCTCTTCCAGCATGAGTTGCTTTCTGCTGTTGTGTGGTCCTGTGCCCAAGTCTTGGTTCTCAGGGCCTCAGGGAGCATTCTAAGATCCATGCAAGGGTCCGTCTTAAAGGGTCACTTCCTCCAAGGCCCATTTATTTGTCTCTCCGCATTCTCATTGGACCCCACTGTTCCAGGTGCAAAAGCCCGACTGGTGGGGCAAAAGGCTAGGTTCACTCTTAGGGCGGAGGGCGTTCACCTTCCAGGCGCGATCGTGAGCCCCGGAGAGCACAGATAGCGCGTGTGACTGGCTCCTGGACTGTGCCACGTAGCGGCGGGCCTAAGTGGGCAAGGGCCTGGGGGGCGCCGGATGGACGGATCGCCAGGCTGGGATTGCCCGGGTGCTGTGCGAGCTGTGACGCACCCGAGGGGAGTATCCTCCCGAAGAGTCCCGGGTCCGGGCGCTCCCATCAAACCCTGCCCCCGGGAGCCAGGCCCGCAGGGGACCGTCACTCACCGAGCCGCGGTACTTGTCCAGCGACACCAGTTTGCCCCGGATGTTGACCGCCTTGAAGTCGTAGAAGTCCTGCTCGGATTTCGCGCAGGCCGTGGCCCATAGGAGCAGCCACGCCGCCGCCACGGTCGCCACCATGGCTCGCATCCGAGGAGGCGGCTTGGCGAGGGAAAAGACGGGAGGGGAGACCCCGGCGTGGGGGGCGGAAGGAGGCGGCCCACTGGGCAGGACGCGCCCCTTTCGCGGTCGCCTCTACAGGCGTGGAGTCCTGGCTCTGAACCTCAGTTTCCCCAGCTGCTCTGCGCCGGTCAGCTCCAGATCCAAGGATCCTGTTTTCTTGCGTTTTCGCTTCTATGAATTTGCTCGCTTAATGCAGAGACTAAAAATAGGAAGAGAGAGAGGAGAAAAATCTGTGTGAGATTAGCATCTAGACAGTGCTTGGCCTTAGGTGATCTCTTCACAACTCTGAGCCTCAGTTCTCCACGGGAATAAACCTAGTCAATGTAGAATTGGGAATACTGGACTGTAACAGAAAAATGGTGGGAAACACTTTGATAGCTGAACGATGTGTACAAACCTTAGGTTAACGAATGTAGTGTTTCACCCAAATAGAGAAGTCAGAGCCGTCAAAGGGGCCTGAGTCTGCAGCGGTTTGGGTTCCTGCAGTGCAGGAGGTTTAGGAGAGACTGCTTTGGGGATCATCTATTGGTTCACCCAGCAGAGACTCTTGATATAGCAGACCTTTATACCACCGTCTTGACAATCACTGGATTAGTGTCTCCTGGCCCGAGGTGCAACAGGAGCCAAGCAGGTCCCATGTCTGGAGCAGCTGACAGCTTTTTGTGAACATGGTTAGCTGCTGGAATCTCAAGTCTAGTGACAGGAGATCTGGACATCGCACTGCAGTGTTTGCCAGGCTCAGAAAACTTCTATGACACCCACAAAGGGCTGAGAATCTGTTGGTGACTAAGTATGAGTTAACACACATTTTGAGCTCCAGGAGCCTCTTGCGCAATGGTGAACAAGATGTGTGATCCATTTCAGAAGGAGATAGGGCACAGTTAACTCTAAAACTACTGTTAGGGCAAGTTAGTACCTGACAAAGCTGAGGGTGGGTTGGGGGGACAACGGGAGGGAGGTTGAAGTCTGACGAATGAGTGGACATTATTCACATTAAAGCAGGAAGCATGTGTGAAGGTTGCCGGGGAGAGTGAAACTTGATACACTGGGCAAGAAAGGCTGGTTTGGCTGGAGCAGAGAACAATGCAGGGGTGGGGGTGGGACAAGGGGAGGTGGGAGGTTGGCACACAGCTTGGTGGGCCACACTAAAGTTTATGGGCTTGCTGGGCATGGTAGCCAATGCCTTTAAATCCCAGCATTTGTGGGACAGAGGCAGGCAGATCTCTGAGTCAGAGGTCAACCTGGTCTATATAGTTTCAGGCGAGCTGTGAAAAAAAAAATATATAGCCTTTTAATCAAGAAATGAAATTTTATGTTTTGTTGTAGACAGATCCCTCTGGCTTCCTTGTGGTGAGTAGACAGGAAAAGTCAAGAGCAGATGATGGTAGAGCAGAAACTGTGGAGCTTTAAGGCCCAGAGATGGTGACAGCAGAGCCATGCATTGAGAAAGGAATGGGACTGTCAGAGTTGGGAAGGCTAAGCAAAAGTGTCAGAGAAGGGGAGCTGTGATGATGAAGGCACAGAGCATGAGGGGAGGAGCTAGCTGGGGAAAGGCTGTGTGTATCACACCACCCTATAGGCTGTAGCTAGCAGACTTGAAGCAGAATACAAGGTCACTACACAGTAAGATTTAAAACCCGGCCCTTAGAGTGGGCTGTCTTCCTGTTCCATCAAGATATTCTCTCTCTTCACTTTGCCTGCAGAGGTGAGATACAGGACAGGGTGTTCCAGGCAAGGCTAAGACGTAAGCAAGTGTCCCTGCCCTTCTGCACCCTTGCCCCTATCTTGTGGGAGCCTTGAGGCCTGTGGTGGGTCTTAATATAAACAGTTGAGCTGACAGTAACATTGTATAGTTGTCCATTTCTATGACTGCCTCGCCCACTAGGCTGGGAGCATCTCCAGGGAAGGCCTGTGTCCGGATCATCTTTGTGTCCTCTTTCATACACAACTCAATAAATGTTTATCTTTTGTAAACCTTCAGGTGACTTCTACTATGTGTCCATGCTTGACTCTGATATGAGATGCTGTTGATTTTAGCCAACAGAATGTAATCTGTCACTTTATTTTCAGTCCACTATATATTTCTGGTTTTGGTTTGTTTTTTGTTTTTTGTTTTTGTTTTCATTTTTCAAGACTGTTTCTCTGTGGCTTTGGAGGCTGTCCTGGAACTAGCTCTTGTGTGCCACCAACGCCCAGCTATTTCTGATGTTTCTAAAGGGGCACTGTTATTTCCAGGTGGCACATCTAACAATGAGGAGATTCGAAGACATAAGACAAACCATACTAAATCTCAGCTAAGCAATTGAAAGGTTTGGGGACTCACTCTAGGATCCCTAGTCCTCCTCTTTCCCACAATAAGCTCAAAGACATTATTCATGGGTATTTAAGATGCTTACTATGTTTATCAGACTGTTGAACGCCTAATATGAAACCATTTAAAGAATTTTTAATATAGTGGGAAAAATAAGATAAAATCATTGAATTTATATTCCTGTGGGAGGAGCGTGGTGATATATTGTTTACTGTCTAATAAAGCTTGCCTGCAGATAAGAATGCAAAGCCAGCCACAGTAGTTAGCAATAGAAGGTGGGCAGTGGTGGTACTCACCTTTAATTCTAGCACTCAGGAGACAGAGGCAGAGTTCAAGGACACCCACAGCTACATGAGAGTGAATTGGTCTAAAAGAGAAACAGAGCTCATACCTTTAATCCCAGCACTAGAGCCAAATGTAAGCTAGGAACAGGGCATTCAGTGTTTTAGTAATTAGTCTCCAGTCACGTTGAGGACAGCATCCCTCCTCCAGCCTTGGTAGAGGTAAGAGCTCTTTGGTGGCTTGGCTTCTCTGTTTTTCTGATCTTCAGCTTGAACTCCAATACCTGTCTCTGGGTTTTTTATTATGTGTGATACAGAGGAGAAAGGACTAAAAACCAAAACATACAATAAAAAGCTTATAGTACTTATGATGAGAAATAGGGTAGAGGGGTAATGTGGGAGGAAGAGGGATTGCAACATTGTATGGTACCCTGTCCCTCACAGTTTGGGTCCTGGAACCTTGGCCCAGGGTGGCAAGGGAATGGAGAAAAGACAAACACACATACAGTGAAGCTGGATGATAGGTTTTTGTTTTATTGTTTATTTTTTTGAGACAAGGTTTCTCTGTGTAGGCCTAGCTGTCCTGGAACTTGTTCCGTAGACCAGCTTGGCCTCAGAGATCCACCTGTCTCCACCTCCCAAGAGCTGGGATTAAAGGTGAGCTCCACTACTGCCCAATGATTTTTTTTTAACACTGTTATCACTGCATCCTGAAACATGTTTATTAGGTACAGCACAGAGAGAAGGGTTAGTTTAATCTTTCTAGAAGGTCTCTGTAGGGGAGCAGTCTCAGGCTGTCAGCATCCTGGAAGACCAAGCTGCAGTTGCTAGTCTTTGCACATTCTGGTCAGTTGTTCATAAACACTCATACCCAGTCTCCTGAAGAAAACACTGCCATCCCTCTTGAGCCTGGTCCATAGATAATGGCTTTACCAATTTCCCATGGGCCAACTGGTATCAGAGTTCTCAACAGGCCTTGTTCATGCTAAAATGCACCTTCACTCAGGACTTCACTCACTCAGGTCTTCCTGCATTTCCTACAGTATGTTTTTCTTTTCTATTTTTTTTTTTAAAGCAGATATAAGCAAAGGGTTTTATCACTGCATCGGCATGAGTAACATTTTACAGGTGAACCAGTATTACTATATCCCTTTATCCTTTATGTGGAGATGAATAAGCTATAAAATATGATCATTGTAAGCTTTTGTACAGCTCTGTATCATAGAAGCAAACAATAAACATCATTGGGCTGGGCGGTGGTGGTGAATGCCTTCAATCCCAGCACTTGGGAGGCAGAGACAGGCAGATCTCTGAGTTCGAGGCCAGCCTGGTCTCCAGAGTGAGTTCCAGGACAGCCTCCAAAGCCACAGAGAAACCCTGTCTCAAAAAACCAAAATAAATAAAAGTAAATAAACAGCATTGGTTCCCCAGTTCTCTCCATGGCCTGTCATCAAACAACCTGTAGACGTTGCGCATGATTAGACTGAGCAGGCAGGTCTAGAGTTGTCACAATCAAGACGTCTAGTGGCACCAGTGAAAAGAGTGCCAAACCTTACAATGGTAAGGAAAAATAAGAATTTGGGGTTTGTTTGTTTGTTTTTGTTTTCTTGGTTTTTCAAGACAGGGTTTCTCTGTGGCTTTGGAGGCTGTCCTGGAACTAGCTCTTGTAGACCAGGCTGGTCTCAAACTCACAGAGATCCGCCTGCCTCTGCCTCTGCCTCCGGAGTGCTGAGATTAAAGGTGTGTGCCACCAATGCCCATCGAAAAATTTGTTTATAAGTATCCTTTGTGCTGAAAGTCAACTCATGACTAGATATAAAAAGTCAGGAATTAAGGGTGTCATGCGGCAGCACAGGTGGGTGACAGAAGACAAAGAACAGACGTGCGTTCACACAAAGTCAGATATTCTTAATGGGTTTTATTACACTAGCTGGAATGCTCTAAGTTCATGAAAACTTTTGAAGAAAATCTTCAATTTCCATCCCTTTAAAAAACTGTGTTGGGGGGGAGCTAATGATCTGGACAGATACAGAAGAGCATGCTGTAACTCTTCCCATCTCCCCAAATGCTATCTGATGACAAAGCAGTCTCAGAAAGCAGAATGTTTAAAATTTATCAGGTAGGAAGTCTCCAGCATAAGGAACTCACTCTGTTGACCTCTGTTAACTCTTGGCAGACGAATTATTCCTACGGCAGAAGTCTATATTTCGCATGCATATGTGAGACGGGATAAGCATTGTATGTTCATATCCAACATGAGTCAGGCTTGAAGTTTTTCTAAATACTGCGTGTGGCGCTAGGAATTCCATGCTGCATCAAGTCAGTACCAGTGCATAAGCTACTGGACTCTATAATGAAATAGGCAGACGTTTAAAACCAATACAAAAATCTGGCCCAGAAAGACCAGAATGGTAATATGTAATTTTCTTAATTTAAGATGGTCAAAAATGTGGGTTTTTTTTTTTTTTTAAGAAAGGAAAGAGGTCTTTACACACTAGGAAAGTGTATGAAGTCTTTCAGTGTGTGCTGACTTTATCATAACTCCAGCTGATTTGTTATGAAGAATAGGGATATACATCTTCAGCAGTGCACATGAGAAACTCTGAGAAAGGCAATTTCATGGGTTTAGGAAGGACCATGTTCTGGGAAGTAATTCAGAGGAACGGACAGTAGTTCTAGGATTAATGCCAAGAAAGACCGGAAGACGTCGGAAGATGTCTCAGCTTCTTCAGGATTTTGAGTGTTTAATAAGCCACTGAAGTGTGATATCTATATTATCCTTTTTTTTGCAAGAAATTGAATAGCAGCAAATTTCTCTATCCTGAATAGCAGACAGGTGCATTTTTTCAATTAGCTGTTTCTCATTCAAGGCATTTGGAAGATCTCTCTTGTTTCCAAGTACTAGTACTGGAATTCCTTGTAACAGTGGTTTATCTAGAAGCTTATGGAGCTCTTTTCGAGAGACATCTATCTTTTCATGATCTGCAGCATCTATCATATAAACAATAGCATTGACTCCTCTGCAATACCGCTCCCACATGCTCCGGAACCGGGGTTGTCCTCCTATGTCCCAGATCCTTATTGTGACATTACCTTTAGTTACTTCCCTCATGTTGAAGCCCACCGTGGTTATCATATCTTCACTGAATTAATCTGACGCTATGACATTGACGAAGGTGGTCTTGCCAGAATACTGCAGCCCCACAAGGGTCAGTTCCATCTCCTCCTTTCAAAACAGTGAGCGGAACCAGTCCAGCAGATGGGAGATGAGTGCCAGTATGGCAGCAGCCGGGAGCGAGCGTGGACGGGTGCGGACAACGGACAACAGCGGTCACTGCTTCCCACGAGCGAGCGGCAATCGGTCCTGAACCCACTAACGACTCCTCGCCCCGCCCCCACGCGCGACTCGCGTGGACACAAGCTGCCATGGCCAGAGCCAGGAAACCCAGCTGGTCATATCTGTGTTCATTTTTTATTATTAGTGTATATATGTATTAGTCAGGCTTCTCTGGAGGAACAGAACTGATTGAATACATACATACATACATACATACATACATACATACATACATACATACATACACACACACATACATATGCTCACAGGCCAGGTAGTTCAACAATGGCTATTTTCCAATGAAAGGGCCAAGAATCCAGTAGTCAGTATGTGCTGGAATCCTGAAGTGGTTTCTAATGCTGGTGAAGGAATGGACTTGCCAGTAAAAATGAGAGCAAGAAGGTAAAGGGAACAAGCTTCCTTCTATGTCTTTTATAGAGGTGCCATCAAAAGGTGTTGCCCAGACTAAAGGTGGATATTCCCACCTCCAACAATCTGGATTAAAAGTGGGTCTTCCCACTTTTTTTTAATTTAATTAAATCTTAATCAAATGATTTAATTAAGAAATAACCCTTCACAGGCTGCTTGAGTTTTAGTTAATTCCAGATGTAGTCAAGTTGACAACCAAGTTCTAGCCATCACAAGTCCACACCTTGTCAACTAACAATCAGGTTTCCTTAAGCCATGCTTAATTTCCAAATTAAACAATAAGCAGGTCATAATTATGCCTAGCATTATATAACTATTCCTTGTAAAACTGAAATACACTAAAATTTTTAGAATAGATGACAATATCCCTTGAGGGACATTCTTTTGGTATCTCAAAACTTAAATATGATAATCAGTGATATTCTCTTAGTTGATATTACATTACATGATAAATTGAGGAAAGAAAACAAATGTCTGTACAAGCATACTCTTAACAAAAACAGAAAACTCAGGTCAGTTATAATCCCCATTTTTGAATCTTGGCCTTAGCTGGCTTTATATCTACCTTCCTCTACTACCCACTGCATTTCCTCAACCCTCAGCAAGTACCTCATCAGGTCTTGGCTCTTTTCCTGGAGAAGTGACCTATATTTTCATTCCTGAAAGGTCTGTGCCCTTTGTTATCCTGCCTGGATTAGGCTGTTGAAGTTTCCTGTGGTGATCTTGTTTATACTCTAACAAATAAAGCTTGCTTGAAGATCAGAGGTCAGAGCTAGCCACTAGTTAACCATAGAGGTCTGGAGGTCTGTACAGATAGACAGGAAGTGATAAGGCGAGAGGAGACAGGAGCCCAGTCTTTTTTCAGCTGGGAAGTTGAGTAGGTAAGGTGGTTATGGATGGCTCCTTCATCTCTCTGGTCTTTCAGCTTTCACCTCCTAATATCTGACTCTGGGTTTTTATTATTAAGACCCAATTAGAACTCACGCTACACTTTCCCATTGACTTTAATCACAGGACATGGTAGCACCAAGAGACGCCCTAAAGGATCGCCTACACTCTAGACATAATTGTTCTTACCTCCATTGTGGAGAAGCAATGCAATTTCCCCTTGGTGATCTGGATCAATCACCCCTCCTAATACTGCCATTTCTTTTTTTCCAGACTGTTAGCTTAAGTGCATTAGAAGCCCAAAGTGGCCAGGGGGGAGTCTGAGCTTCCAGTTCAATGGAATGTTGTGTTTCTTGACAAGAGCACTTCCGACTCTGGAACAAAACTTCTAGGCCAAAACTTAAGGCCACTGGAACAGAAAGCAAAAATTTCCCTAGTGAGTTACTAGGGGTGATAGTGAGTGGAATCATTCCCCTTTCCACCCTTTGGTTTCTGGACTTATGGATCCTGGCTATGAAAGAAACCATACCATAATGTTGGATGCTGATTCAAAGCATATGCTGCCTAGTGAAGAATCCTGCCCCAGCCCTCCAGGCTGCTGCCATTGGTGCTGTAAGCTTGTCTTCAAAATGCTATTCCATCTTTCTAATATATCAGCCGTTTCAGGATGATGGGGTACATGGTAAGACCAATAGATTCCATGCTTTTGGGTACACTGTCACATTTCTCAGGATGTGAAGGGTATTCCTTAGTCAGAAGCAATACTATGTGGAATACCATGATGATGGATAACACATTCTGTAAGTACAGGGATGGTGGTTTTGGCAGAAGCATGGACATGCAGGAAAGGCCAATCCATAACCAAAATAAGGATCTACTCCAGTAAGGGCAAAGCATTGTCCTTTCCAGACAAAATGTATGACCATGTGTACTGCCGGAAGTTCTGCCCACTCTGAAGATTTCCCTTCTGTGATGTCTTTTAGGGTTTTCACAGAAAGTGGTCTTAATGCTGCAGCTGTCCACTTCTGGGTGGTGACTACATAGCATATGGAATCATCAGTAACCCAGGCCCTAGTCTTCTCTTCCTCAGTCAACCGGTCATAAGGAGCACCCCATGAGGCTATAGGTGCATGCTTGGCAGAAGATGGCATTGAAACTGGAGTAAAAGCTATAGGCATGGGGGCTGGAGAGATGGCTCAGTGGTTAAGAGCACTGACTGTTCTTCCAGAGATCCTGAGTTCAATTCCCAGCAACCACATGGTGTCTCACAACCATTGGTTATAAGATCTGGTGCCCTCTTCTGGTGTGCAGATATACATGGGAGCAGAATGTTGTATACATAATAAATAAATAAAATCTTAAAAACAACAAAAAAAAAGCCATAGGCATTAGGGCAACTTGTGTACCTTGCTTGTGCCTTCAGGACCTGCTCAGGCCCTATATATATATCACTTCTATTTGATAATAGGCTGCTACTGTGTATACTACAGCTTGGTGGCTCAGATAACACCCGGCTCCTGATGGGCAGCTTAGGCCACATGGTAATTTGGTGGCCCATTGTTAAATATTCAGTACCCACTAAGGCCCAATAGCAGGCCAAGAGCTGTCTCTCAAAGGGAGAATAGCCAGAAAATGATGGTTGGTAGAGCCTTGCTCCAAAATCCCAAAGTTCTCTTCTGTGATTCACCTACAGGGGCCTGCCAAAGGCTAAAAACCACATCTCTACCTGCCAGTGACACCTCAAATACCATCTGGTTTGCAGGATCACATGGTTCAAGTGGTAGAGTAGCCTCCACAGCAGCCTGGACCTGTTGAAGAGCCTTCTATTCCGGGCCCACACAAAGCTAGCAGCTTTCTGAGTCACATGGTATATGGGCTGGAGTAACACACCCGAGTGAGGAATGTATTACCTCCAGAATCCAAATAGGCCCATTATTAGCTTCTTTCTTGGTGGTAAGAGGGGTCAAGTGCAATAACTTAGCCTTCACCTTAGAAGGAATATCTCTGCATGTCCCATACCCCTGGACTCCTAAGAATTTCCCCTGAGGTAGAGGGCCCTAGAAGGCCCTAGAAATTTGGTTGGATTTATTTCCCATAGTCTGATGTGCATTTGTGTTACCAAGGAGTCTAAAGTGGTTGCTACCTCCTGCTCATTTGGTCCAATCAGCTTGATGCTGCTGATACAGTGGACCAATGTGATAGTTGGTGGGGGAATATGTGTGGGAACAGATTTCAAGGGTGTGGGATAATGGTGAGAGGAACAGAAAACTAGAAGAGACAGATAATCAAGATCCCTTTGAACTAAGCTATAACACGGAGCAGGAGAGTTAATATTTCCTTAAGGGAAAGCCGTAAAGATATATTGCTGGCCTTTCCAACTGAAAGCACATTGCTTCTGGTGGTCTTTATGGACAGGTACTGAGAAAAAGGCATTGGCTAAATCAACGGTTGCATACCATGTAGCAGGAGAGGTGTTAATCTGCTCGAGTAAAGACACCACATCTAGTAGTAGTACAGCAGTCCATTGTCATTTTCCACGACCCATCTGTCTTCTGCACTGACCACATAGAGTTAAAGGGAGATGTGGTGGGAACCACCACTTTTTCATCTTTCAAGTCCTTGATGATGGCACTAATTTCTGCAACTCCTTCAGGATGTAATACTGTTTTTGAGTCATTATTTTTCCTGGCAGAGGCAACTCTAAAGGCTTCTATTTAGCCTTTCCAACCATACTAGCCCTCACTCCACAGGTCAGGGAACCAATGTGAGAATTCTGCCAACTTCTAAGTATATCTGTCTCAATTATACATTCTGGAACTGGGGAAATAACCACAAGATGAGTTCAGGGACCCACTGGACCTACTGTGACTCAGATTTCAGCCAGAATTCCATTAATCACCTGACCTCCATAAGTCCCTACTTTAACTGGAAGGCTACAATGTTTCTTCAGGTCTCCTGGAATCAGCTTCAATTCAGAACCAGTACCCAACAGACCCCAAATATCTGATTGTTTCCTTTCCCCCAGTGTACAAGTCCCCGTGTAAATGGCCAGGTTCCTCTGAGGAAGGACTGGAGAAAGGCTAACAGTAAAACTATTAGGTTTTTATCAAGGTTCTTTGTCAGGGGAACCTGGTGATTCCCCTAGTTAAAGGGGTTCTGGGTCTGCAGACTGTCTTAAGTCTGGAAATTGGTTCACGGACCAAGATTTCCATTTGCCTTGATCACACATAGCCTTTCTTTCATTTGAGAATTTTTCTGCTTATAGAGATCAAACAAAAATGCAGCAGGCTTCTTATCTATTTCATATCTAGAAACACCATGATTGATTAGCCAGCCAATGTCCATACCAATCATGTCACCATAAAATTTGCTGACCATTATGGGTTAGGCCATTATGGACATTACTTTGTCTATGTTGTCTATTACAATAACTTACGATAATATAACAACTACTACTACTACTACTACTACTACTACTACTACTACTACTTTGGTGATTCAGTGCTGCCACATGGCCCATGCTACCTTGAGACCCAGTTAAACCCACTGCATTTAATTAATCCAGTTGAGCAGCAGCATCTCCAACCCTAAGGTCTGGCACAAGGGGAAGCGCAGCAACAAAGTTCATCATATGTACTGAAGCTCCTCTCACCATTTTGTGTCTTATA